AGTAACGCTAGGAATACAGAAACATAGGACACAAACCTTTCACAAGGAATGATTTCTGTGTATATAGACTTGTTCAAAAATAAATGTATGTGTCAGTAGAAAAAAAAAAATAATATCACTTTTTTATTCATATACTATTTACAAATCACTCATGAAAAAAGAACCTAACTATTATAGGAATAAAAATCAAAAGAGACGGGTGTAATTATATTAAATTGTAAGGCTAACAATATGTTTACTTTAAAATAAAAAGTACTGCTATTAGCACCTGTTTAAATTCTTAGGACCCCCCAATATCTATTTTTTTATTACAATTATACCCTTAAAGTAAAATTATGTTAAACGACAACATTTAATGAAGCACCCACATACTAAATAAGAACTAAGACTCTACAATATTGGACACCCACCCCCAACCCCAGCTCCAGCTCTAGCTATACATATTCTACATTTCTAAACCCTAAACATATTACTTTTCATAACCAACCAACATAAATTCTAAATCTGTTATTTTTCATAATCATCTTAAATCTTGAATGTATCATCTTTATCACTATCATAAACCCTCCTAAACCAGATTTTTTTTTTTCAAGTACAACATATACTCTTCATCAGTTATTTCACATTGTAGAGCAATATAGGACAATGACAACAATTCTAATGAGACTGGTGTTCCATTGGTAAGTTTGTCTGTCTCGCATTAACATTCTCAGTTGTTTTCAGTCGTTCCTGTTTTATTCAAGTTATTCGGTATTGGTTTGCTGACTGTTAAGATTATGTTCGGTAACATGATATTGGACACAAACATTTAGTTCTTTATATGGGTTTCAAACAGTAATGCAGATAGTCGATCCTATTGAACCGAACATGACCTTTATTTTCGGCATTGTTGAACCAAACAAAACCATTAGTTTAGGAACTGTTCAACCGAACATAATTTTTTCCATTTTGAAATTACATTCACATGTGTTTTTAGGGTGATGCTTCGATTAGAGGCAGTAAGGTTGATTCAGAATTTGTAATGGATTATAGTAATGGATTTGTCACTCATGAAGTGAGTCTTTGATTGTTTTACAAATAATATACCTTTTTTTGTCCTTTTTTTATATGTAATAATTGATTAGTTTAATTAATTTATTTAAGATATTCAAGAGTCGAGATGAGTTAATTCAATGGGCTCGTCAAGTTAGGAGAAAAAATGGATTCGTTACTGTCGTGCAGAAATCAGATGGGGGTAGTGTTCGTGGTAGGAAACTATGACTTAGCCTAGCTAGTGAGAGGAGTGGATCTTATATGGACACTCGAAAAAACAATAGACTTAAGACAAAAAAACAAAGGATCTTCTGTTGGTATTGATGTTGTTGCATGTGGATGTGTTGTTTGGTGTACTCAATGTTTTCCATATGCGCACAAGGTAGCAGATTACAATGAATTACATCATTATGTCAAATTTTTGCTACTACGTGACAATAAAAACTCTTCAAAATTGAAAGATCATCTAGCCCCCCAGGAAAAGGTCCAGTAAGAACTTCAGTAATTTTTTCAGTTGTATCTGTTAGTTGGTTTTCATAGTTACCCATGTCTATCGGTTCATTACCTATGTCTGTTGGTTCATCACTCAATTCATCACCTAATTCATCACCTAATTCATCATTGGTTCATCACTCAATTCATCACCCCTGTCACTAACATTCAATTGATTGCCCCCAACATTTTCAACGTTAGCCATTTCTGCTAGAGCAACACCTATGTCATTCATGTCTTGTTCATTAACTCCACTACCATAATCCTTAGTCTTATGAGTGCATCGAGGTCTCTTAGTCATTTTTTCAGAAATTACAACATTACGTCTCTTAAACGTCGTTTGGCGATCTCAAGCAATTTCCACTATAGTTGTCCACAAAGTACAATTAGATGTTAGTCAATGACAATATAAGCAAATATATAAAGTAATTCAACTTCCAGAACTAAGACACACAATCACTTACGCTTGTACTAATTTTCAATATTGAATGTTTAATTTATATGTACTAACTTAAATATTAGAATATCCTTTGGTTGATTACTCCAACCATCAAATACTCATCATGCTTGTGGCTTACAAACTATTTATAATTAATTATCAGAGTTCATACTCTTCTTCTCACAACTAGTTTTAATAGATTTTTCATAAAAGACTTGAATGAAAAACACATTCTATCCAAACATGAAACTAGGACACTATGGTAGGTAACATGTCATTTCAAAACTTAAATTATCCAAAATATTTTTATATTTTATGCATATTTGTAATTACAAAAATGTTTGGGAGCTCTAATTAGAGCCACAGTGTTGCTATGCCTTGATTTTTTTTTTTTTTTTTTTTTTGTGTGAGGTTGCCACCTGTTTAGAACTCTTGTTAGAGCTGGTGTTTTAATGGTCTATAGCAGGACTGATATGCATATTTGTAACTATCACTGACGGCAAAACATACCAATTGAGAGCATTGTTAATTTTGTGGGCACGAGTCTTAGGTGCAAAACTTTAATAGTCAATAATAATTTCATAATTTTATTTCCCAAGTAAAAGAAGGTAGGTGGGTTGGCAACAGACATTCAATAGTTTAAAAAACTCATTTTTGTCCAAATACATTCAATAGTTTAAAAACAAAATTTCACTTCTCAAACGCTTAGATAAAATGAAGTAACATTGCTTCTGGTCACATAATGGGGGAAATAACCATCCAACCTTTCACTACTAAAACAAGGTGATGCAGGTTCAAGGCTTTGTTGGGGGGACTCTGTGGAGTGTTTTGGAAATTTGGTAAAAAATTGATTTTTTGGTTTTTTAGCTTTTTTGGTGGTTTTTTTGATAAAAAAAAAAACTGACTTTTTTTGGTGATTTTTTTATGACTTTTTTTAGAGAACTTAGTAAAAAGTGAAAAAATTAACTTTTTACCAAATTTCTAAATTGTTCCTCAAGGATATATCTTACCACTATATTTTTTGCCCCTCCATTCCTAAAACTAATCTCAAAAAAAAAATTTTAAGACTTGATAGAATCAGTCACAGCTTGAAAGAAAAATTTAAAAAAAATAGAATAAACCACAAGACAAAGGCTAAAATTAATATAATATCATTCAAATTTTAATCCTAAATTTTTTTTATCTTGACAAAAAGAAGTGACTCTGGTGTATGGAAATAAATCGAACCACATATGGAACATGGGTAACAGAGATTGTCAACAACTTCCAAAATTGCACACAGTTTATTTAGTGCTCGTTTGGCAATGACTTTTTTAGTTGATTTTTTGATTTTTTTGACTTTTTTAGTCTGAGACTTTTTTAATCGTTCGGTATTCTTGTTTGACTTTTTTTATTTTTTGGCTTTAGAATGGTGTATTTTTTTTTTATCTTTTTGTTTATTTTGTCCTTTTGTAATTTTTTGACCCTTTTTTTTGTCCTTTTGTGATTTTTTAGTCTAAAACGTTTACCAAACGACCCCTATTGAATAGGGATGGCAATTTGAATCCTAGTCGACGGGGACCCGACCTCCCGTCCCCGATAAGAGTGGTTTTTTTCAGAAAAATACCCCGGACAGGCCAGGAATGATATTTAAAAATAAATCCCCGGTGACATTCGGGCCAAGAACGGTGATACAAATTTCATCCCCGGCCCCCGCCCGGCCCCCCGCCCCGGTTAGCCCCGATATTTATTATATATATATATAAAATATTAGGTACACTCTCTCTAGTCTCATTGTATATTATATATTATATATATAAAATATTAGCCCCGATATTTGATTTGGTACAGCAGCTCATTGTATATTATATATTATATATATAAAATATTACACACTCTCTCTCTCATCTCTTCTCTCACTGTTTCTTCTCTCCAGTGGCGATGGCGACGAGTGCGACTCCTCTCCCCAGCGGCGACGACGCGATCTCCTCTCCCCAGCGACGACGGCTGAGAAAAATAGAGGCAACTAAAATAAAATTTTACAGAAGTAGCTAAATACAAAGTTGAATAATATGCCCACACTATCACAGAGGCAATCTCATGCAAAAAAAATTAAATTAAAACCAGAAAAAAAAAAAAAAGATCTAAATAACAAACCCGTATATATGAGAAATCTAGACATACCCACATATTATTAACATCGAAATAAAATTCTGTCAATATTAGAAGATAGTATATATAAATAAATAGATACTTTGAAGAACATAAGTAAACTTACTGCAATGATGGACTGAATTTCCGTCACAATGAGGGTTTTTCCCTCACATTGTCGAGTTGATTTGCAACCCCAATGGGGATTTTTTCTTTTTGTGACAAGTTTAGATGCAATGTAATGGTGTTCTTCAACAGCAAGAGATTGTTGATGTTCTCTTCAATAAGAGATGGATAGTCATCAATAAAGAAATGAGAGAGAGTGTAAAATTGGGTAAGTGTGCATTTAAGATAAATTTGATATGGATAAATTTGATATGAATAATACTATATGTACTGATTAATGTATTAATTAGTGTACCAATTAATGACGGACATAATTTAAGAGATTTTTAATATTTATAATATGATTAATGAATGAGGTTAATAATAATGTCATAATTAGTGTTAATACATTAGTTAATATACTCATTAGTGCATGTAATATCACCGATTTGATATTAAACGGTGCATTAAAAAAAAATATCTTATTAAAATTTAAGATTTAGAGTGAGAGTTGAAAGAAATGAGTATCCAAAAAATTTAGACACATGTTAATAACAGCCCTCAAAATAAAATATCTGAACCCTTCAAAGCTTCCAATCTCGTCCGTTGATTCAGAATACTTTCCACACTGTTCTTTCTTATTCCGTCTCAAGCCTGAAGCTGATTCATCTTTCTTTGCCTCTCTCTCTACTCACAAACCCAACCCAGTCTCTCTCTCTCTCTCTCTCACTTATAGAGAGAAAACATAGTGGGTGATATGAGATACAGAAAGTGGGCGACACCAACCCAGTTCCAAACAAGCCTTTCTCTCTACTCACAAACCCAACCCAGTCTCTCTCTCTCTCTCTCACTTATAGAGAGAGAAAGTAATGGATTCGGATCAGGGGAAGCTCTTCATCGGCGGGATTTCGTGGGAGACGAATGAAGAGAAGCTCAAGGACCATTTCGAGGCCTATGGTGAGGTTTTGCAGACTGTGGTGATGAGAGACAAGACCAATGGAAGGCCTAGGGGTTTTGGGTTTGTTGTTTTTGCAGATCCTTCGATCCTCGATAGGGTTCTTCAGGATAAACATCTCATCGATGGTAGAACGGTGAAATTTTTCCTCGATTCCATCATTTTAATGCGTCTTCTCTTCAATTTCGTTTGTGGGTTTTTGCTACTTCAATGCTATCTTTGTTTGATTTCATGAAAAAGTGATTAAAAAATCATCTCCAATCCTTTCATAAGACGTTCATCAAATTAAGAGTCATTCCCCCCCCCCCCCCCCAAATCAAAATTGAGAACTCATCAAATTTGAATTTGATGAAAATTTAAAAAGGTGAAGCATTGGAGATGTTTTTTTGTCATCAAATTTGGGATAAAAGCGGAATTTTTAAAAAGATTTTGAAGATAGATTAAGCTTTTTACTCAAATTTTGAATCAAATTAGATGAAAAAATTGGTGAAGGGTTGGAGATGCTCTTAATCGGTCCGGTCTTATAGTAGATATATATACACATATTTATAATTATGAATAACACATATGCATGTATGATTATGCATCATTTAATTTCTTTATTAGGGCATCTCAAATCCTTACCTTTTACTCGTATCAAATTTAAATATGAGTAAAAATGCTTACAATCTTTGTCCAATCCTTTACCCAAGCTCATACCCAAATGAGTTTTACTCAAATTTTGACCCAAATCAAGGGATACAATTATACCACTTATCAAACTTTTACTCAAATTTATACTAAATTTGGAGATTGGCCGTTGGAGTACTCTATATGAAATGAATTTTTTACTGAGTAAAAATATGAGTAAGGGTTGGAGATGGCCTCAGCGTTTTGTTTGTCATGTACTTGGCTTTTAGCTGTTTTGATGCCATAGGAAAATTTATCCCTTCTCATTAAGATTTATATGTATGTATGATACACATTTTGAAATTGTGCTCCCTAATGTTTGTGTTTTGAAGTTACATTTGTATGGCAGTCCACTTCATTTCTGTCTGTTACATTTGAGGATTCTGGGGTTCTGAAGTTTATTTTGTTTAACAGTGTTGTGTTGTCATAAAAAAGTGTTCTGTTGCGTAATTATGGTTTAGAAAGTTAGTATCATAAATAAATAGATAGGTATTGATGCTTTGGTTAACTAGTTATACATAAATTAAAGGATACTTTCGTAGGTTTATAAGTTTATGGGATTTTTCTGAATGTTTTTGTTCTGCTTTGTTTGATTTCTATGGCTAAATCACCATTTATCTATTATTATGTAAACGTATTGTGTATTGGTTTACTCTTTTGTTTCTTAAATTGAGTTTTATTGCATGTTAATTTCCAATTATATTAGGTTATTGTGAGTCTCTTGTTTTGACTTTGAGATTTCTGGCTACTTGTTTTAATGTGATTTTATAGGGTGTTAATATTTTATTTGTCCTTCCCTTCTATTTTTTATTTTATTTTATTTTATTTTAATTTTCTTAAATAATATCGAACTCCATAGAGGAAAATTTTATTTTTAAGGTGAAAGAAGATCTAAGAAGCATGGACATGGACACGTGACACGACACGAATACGACACAGACACGCCGAAACGTTAATTTTAAAAAAATGCAGGACACGACACGTGGAGGACACGCATGAAATATATAATTTTATATATTTATTATATGTTATATATATGAATATATCATTCAAAGATAATAAAAAATGCAATATAGCACTATTTCCTATAAATTTATATGGTTTTTGTTTTATTATTGTATCTTAAGTTGTTTTGTTCAAACTTATAATTAGTTTTACACATCTATAATCAATAGACACATGTGTTTAAACAATTGACACGTGTGTCCTCCAAGTGTCCAAAGAGTGTCCGGGTCTTTAAAAATATTTAAAAAATAGGACACGTTTTGAAGAGTATCGGACACGTGTCCTAAGAGTGTCCAAAGGGTGTCGGTGTCCGACACGGACACGACATGGATACGTCACCTTCTTAGAAGAAGATGTTTTTCCAGAAAATTTTGATATTATGTTCTGCTCTGCTGATTTTGTTTATGTATTGATTTGACTTGTTTAGTTTTTTGGCTACATTGTGAGGACCACAGGATGGAACCCGCCCATTTTTAGATGAAAAAGACTCATTATCAAATCGGGTGGCACACTGAGGAAGTTAATTGCTGATGTATGGCTTAATCAATAAACTGTAGAATGAAACAGAAACAACATAGGAATCTCTAAGAAATAAGGCCTTGTTTGGCATGATCTAAAAAAGGCAAAAAGTCACTATCCTATTTAAGTCCAATCATCTTATTTAAGTCACATCACCTCTCTAACACATCACTTCAAACCCAACCCATATTTCATAAAAAGTTAAAAAGTACACTTATTTAGATCATCTCAAACCACCCTTTAATTGTTTGAATGAAGCAAAGTAACAAAATATTTTGGAAAGATTGAAGAGTTCATATACTTGATCATCATTATGGCATGCATTTGTTTTGTTCATATTATTCCTGCCCATATCCACAAAATTTGTTTCAAGATTGACATTGAGCATGGATACACGCATTGGGTTACTCTTGTGCAAGCTTGAGAGAGAGAGAGAGAGAGAGAGAGGTAATAGTTTCTCCTTTCCATGTATTATGTGAGGCTTGTGTGCCATATCAAACCTATATTTTACAAGCTTCGCCTTGACCTTGCAATAGCAATCATTGGGAGTTTATTTCTTTATTATTAGGTTTATTTTAGTATGTTGGACCGTTTATTGAATTTAAAAATTTTCTCGCTACTTCTAAGTAGGATTACTGCAAATTCTGGTGACAATGCATATTTTCACATTCACAGGACATCAACAATCACCTTCACCTCCTTGGTACATCCCCGTAAGCAACATGTTCTATAAATTGTGTACTTGTAATGTTTGTGACAAAATTGATGTATTCTTGTGTTATTTTCCCCAGTGCCTTTATGGGAAAATATGAACTAAGGCACTGAGGAAAATATGAACTCCTGATCACTAATTTTCACTGGATGGGTTCAATGCTAGATTGGACTGAAGAATTTTAATATTCTTTATCCATATTTTTAGTAAATGTAGTTATCTACTTGTGAGTATTGAATATAGAAGTGTGTTATAAAATTTGAGATTGCTATGTTGTTGATATGCCCGTGCATGTCTGGTATGTGTATGCATATGTTAACAAGGTCACATGACTCGGTTCATTTTTACATGTCTTCTTATTGAGGACCGGCATTCACGTTATATACCAGTTAGTTTTTTTGTTGTTGAAGTGTCAATGACGTTACAAGTGTTGACACTACCTTGATTACATTTTTTGATGCTAAGATAAGACGTGGTTAGGTGAGTTTGCGTATATGAATAATCTGCATGAAATTTAAGTAAGATTTACATTTGAAATATGTATTGGTATTGTCTGTATAGTTTTGCTGCCTGAAATTGCAGTTGAGCATGATTGGGTTTTTACTATTTTTCTTCTAGGTTTTCATTTCGTGTTAACCACTGGCATTGATTATTCAGGTTGAGGCGAAGAGGGCCATGTCAAGAGAGGAACAGCAGACGGCCCCCAGGGCTGGAAACTCTGGTAATTCTAGAAACTTTGGAAGTGGTGGAATATACAGGACAAAGAAAATTTTTGTTGGAGGCTTGCCACCTACACTGACTGAGGAAGGATTTCGTGAGTATTTTGAAACTTATGGTGGTGTAACTGATGTGGTAGTCATGTATGATCAGCAGACTCAACGACCACGTGGATTTGGATTTATTTCCTTTCATAGTGAGGATGCCGTTGATAGGGTTTTGCACAAGACATTCCATGATTTAGGTGGTAAGCAAGTAGAAGTGAAGCGTGCTCTTCCTAAAGATGCCAACCCTGGTGGTGGTGGCCGTTCCATGGGTGGTGGTGCTGGCGGTGGAGGTGGAGGTAGTTATCAAGGTACATGCAGTTCAGGTTCTTATGATGGTCGAATGGATTCCAACAGGTACATGCAGTCTCAGAATACTGGAGGTGGGTTTCCGTCTTATGGTTCTTCTGGGTATAGCGCTTCGGGTTATGGGTATGGTCCTGCCAATAACAGCGTGGGTTATGGTGGTTATGGCAGTTATGGTGGTGCCAATCCTGGGTATGGTGGCCCTGCTGGTGCAGCCTATGGAAACCCAAATTTACCTAGTGCTGGTTATGGAAGTGGTCCACCAGGTTCCACACGAAGTTCATGGGGCTCTCAGGCTCCATCTGGGTATGGTGGTGCTGTGGGCTATGGGAATGCTGCTCCTTGGGGTACTCCTAATGCAAGTGGTGGTGGTGGTCCTGGCAGTGGCGGGCCTGTTTCAGCACCCACGGGTCAATCTCCGGGTGGAGTTTCTGGGTATGGGAACCAAAATTATGGTTATGGTGGTTATGGTGGGTATGGTGGAGTTGATGGGTCTTATGCAAATCAGGCTGCATATGGTGCCGTTGGAGGTCGTGCAGGGAGTGTCCCGCATAGCAAGGCTTCTGGTGGTGCTGGTGGGGGAGAGCTGCAAGGAACTGGGGGGGGCTACATGGGAGGCAGCTATGGTGACGCCAATGGGAATTCAGGGTATGGAAGTCAAGGATGGATGTCTGATCCTACTCAAACTTCTGGAAATTATGGGGCTCAGGCAATTGGACCTCATGGTGGGCCAGTTGGATACGGTAGTTGGAGGTCGTGCGGGGAGTGTCCCACATAGCAAGGCTTCTGGTAGTGCTGGTGGGGGAGAGCTACAAGGAACTGGGGGGGGCTACATGGGAGGCAGCTATGGTGACGCCAATGGGAATTCAGGGTATGGAAGTCAAGGATGGATGTCTGATCCTACTCAAACTTCTGGAAATTATGGGGCTCAGGCAATTGGACCTCATGGTGGGCCAGTTGGATACGGTAGTGGGTATGGTGGTGCACCGACTCGACAGGCTCAACAGCAGTGATTTTGATGACTTCATTCCATCCGGGATTCGGCTTTTTTTGCTCTGAGGACATGCAGTCGATGCTTTTTTCCCCCATGTCAGCTGGAAGGAGGAGGGGTGGCCATTGTTGGATGTCATGCACACATTGGGACTGGTTGGATTGCTTGACTCCCAGTAGTTTGCAGTAACTATCTTGTTAGCGTATGATAAGTAGTATTATTGAGGAGTAGAGTTGTCTCTGCTTTCTTAATTACTCTCGAGTGTAGTTTAAATTCAGCGTGCTTATAGTTGTGCTATTAGCTGATCTGGAGCTTTTCTTATTATAGTGTCGAAGCTATAGTAGCTTATATGAACTTTATTTATGTGGTTTGATTACAGTTTGAGTATTTTCTTAATGATGTGGTGTTAGCGTTGATAGCTGGCCTATTTTAGCAGGATTTATTTTTTATAGGCAGATTCCGGTACTAATATGTTTGATAATAGTAGCATATCTGATTTCTTTTCCTTCAATATGACAAGTAGGACTACAGTGATATAGTGAGGCTTCTTACTGATTGGAGTGTAGCTATAGTCCACATGGGCTAATCACATCGTAAATCATAATAGATAGTGATAATCGTCATGCTTCGTAATGGATAGCGATAATAGTAGTGGTAGTTGAACTTTGAAAATGGCATAATCATTTCCTCCTGTATTTCCCCTTGTCTTGTACAGGAGGAGAAATGCTCGAGTTCTGAAGTGGAGTCAAAGTGTCCACTCAGCTGAACATGAGCTTCATAGTCGGGGTGTGTTTAACATGGAATGGGACTTGGAGTTGACTGGGTTGACCTAACTTTGAGATTGTTCATGCGGAAACCAGACCTTGCCGTTGAAGTCAATTTTCAGGGATCATCACATTTCGAGTTTGGGATCGCTCAATCTTCATTCAGGTTGTGGTGAGCTGATGAATTTTTCAAAGCTGAACAATCTTGTGGTATGTCAACTAGAGCTGTTAGGCAAATTTCTCAGTTCATAATCATTTGGGCTGCTTATCACACTATTGAGGCTTAGCAATGAGTATTAGCTCTAGAGATTCGTAGTAGTCTTATAATAGTTAAGTCTACTAGTTGAAAGGCAACTGTTAGTTTGATCCTCTATTATGGCATTATTAACAGTAAATAGGATATCGATATTGAGATAAGAATGCTATCTCGCGGAGATGCGATTTTCTTCTTACTATGATATAACTTTTGATGGTTGCAATTATCAGAGTCAGTCATTATTATGATAGGATATACCTAGAAATCACCGCATTTGGTCTCTCTCTAAATGAGCCTTATTTTCAGCTTCTTGTTGCAAGAAATTCTTTGTGAAATTCTAGTGATTTTTTTTTATATTTTTTTGATAAAATCTTTTTTGCCCTTTTGTGGTTTTGGTTTAGAGCACTTTACATCCTCACATTTGAAAACAAGGGCAAAGTGCTCTCATGTGGATTTGATACATTTTGCACCTTACCTCCTTATCATCACTATTTGCATTTAAATTGGCGGAGATCGTGTCACACACACCAATTTTGAGAGTTTACAAAAAATAAAATAGAAAGTCAAAAGTGAAATTTAATGTAAAAAGACAATTTTTCCATCTTCTTCCCTATTTGAAAAATTCTAACCTGCCAACCAACCTTGCTACCTCCATCCACCTGTCCCGCCATCTCCTCACCACCACCTTGTCACCCTCCCACCTGCTGGTGTTTGGCTTTCAATCCCCAAGAAAAAATCATGAGTGAAACAAGATTTCATAAAAAAGAAAGACCATGAGAGCAGTTCGATGTATATCGACAATCATATGTATATACATATCTTTTCTGGTTTTGAACTGATTTATGGTTTCAATATACAATTTATATACGTTCACACATCACATATACTTAAATACCTATCTACAGAATATTGTATATATACAATATACACACAGCACGTATATATGTATATATATACTTACAATATCTGTACATAATTTATTTGGATTTAGATTTTGAATTTAAAATGAAAATTCAAAATCAAAATTGAATAACTAGCTGATGTACGATTTTTGTGTGATTTTGGTTGGGACTTGTACTAAGGAGGAAGATAGTGTTACAGTGGGTGTTTGGGAAGTGGGTTTTTTTTGTAGGTTTTTTTAGTTGTAGGATATTATTGGAGAAATTTTTTTTTGTGTTTGGGAAGATAGTTGGGTTTTTTTGTAGTTGGATATGATGTTTGTGAGAAAAAAAGTGAAATGATTATGGGGTTTGATTGATATTTTGTTTGGATTTGTTTTTTTTTTTTTGATTTTGTAACTAATTTGTCTTTTAGTGAAAAAAAAACCAAAAAATTTCGTTCCCAAACACCACCATAAAATGAAGGGTATTAAGTCTTTTTGCAATTTTCCATTAATAGAGTTAACTATGCATTTTAGTCCACGTGAGGGTGAATTGCATATTTTTCAATGATAAGGAGTTGGGTAAAGTGCTCTAGGACTAAATGACAGGGAGGTAAAATGAATTTTGCCTTCTTTTCCCCCCCCCCCCCCCCCCCATTCCGGTACTAATATGTTTGATAATAGTAGCATATCTGATTTCTTTTCCTTAGCTAACGCAATAAATTTGCTGGGTTCAAATATACTTTTTTGTTGATTAGTATTTTTTGGGCAATGCTACGTACCTCGAATTTGACCTTGGCTTGAATGGCTCGAATTTCTAGACGACCGGTGAACAAAAATTCGAGCCATTCGAGGCACCAAGGATTACACTTTTTTGTAAATGTGCATATGTACATGAATATGCACTTTGGACAAAATGGAAAAAATGAAAAATGAAAAACAAAGAATAGGAACATTTCTGAAGCGTCATGTCTCCTTTTTTGTCCTTATTCCACTCATCTTTGGAATTAGATTTTGGAAAATTCATGTCAACTATGTTTTGGGGAAAGGTTATTTATGTTGCATAGTTTGCTTGGACATAATCCATTATAGCCAGTCATGTTGCATTTTTTCCCTCGCAAATAGCAAGTTGTCACTGTGTTGTTTATCCCGGAAAATGGCGCCACATTTACACTAAAATATTTGTAGGGTAATATTGTTCTGTCGATTGGTTGATTATTAAACTAGGTAAATTGTCTTGTATGTAAATTTTGTGTACTTAAACATGTTGAAAACAACTTATCGAATCATCTTCTGCAAGTTATTATTCAGTTGACAGTTCAATCAAAACACAGGCTTCTTGACGTGGTTGGGAAAGACAGACTCTTTGATATGGATCGCTCCAATAACTCAGAAGCTGGTAAGAAGTTTCAATTTTCAAGCACCAACAATGATTTTCCAACATTGACGACCTTGCTAGTGGCCATTTTTTTGCAACATGGGCTACTGTATTTTTGTGAAGAATTCAAATTAATACAATTCTGTTTCAGTCATTTGTTGTACTATTTCTTGACAAATTTCTATATAGGTAAACTTCAACTCTATATAGTATATAGTCTTTTACACTTGTGAATCACACATTTTCCTAAAACTTCTTGTTATGCTAAGGCTTTTAATCTTGCATTGTTTTGCGCATTTTAGAGTCATATTTCTGTAACTAGCTTCTTGTTTGGATGGGAGGGGTTTGATAATATGTTTATCAGTTGTTTGATGAAATGGTTATGTGAGATTGTGAACATATAGTCAGAAGCGATGGCTAGTAGACAAGTTATGTTGAGCTTGTGAGTTTGTTTGTTTGTTTGTGTTTTTTTTTTTGACAGCATGAAAACAGAGAATCTGCCCCAAGTGGAGTGTTTTGAGATAGGGAGACATGAATTTGGTGACAGATTATTTTTGGCTCAAAATGAAGTTCATTGTGAGGAAAGTAGAACATATATCTATAAGTTGTTTTGAGACTTGTGTTTTGTTTTCCTGTTTTGCCCTTTCACTTTACTGGGTTTGTCTAATTTGAATGAAGGTTTTTTTCTTAATTATACAAAGAGTCTTGTATATATATTTATATATATTCTTATAACTATCCTAGCAACTTACATAGTTTAAATTTTAAAATTTCATCTATTTTTTTTTTTTTAAATTTAAAATAAAATTTTCATTATATAAATATTGTACAATCATTTATCATGAAATAGTTTATTGGGACAAGTCTCTAATTACTTTGCATAGTCAAAATGTTGTCAAAAAATATTTTCCAAAACGAAATTGCTATTATGCTATACATACCATCATAATTTTTGTACAAGAGAGCATTTTTCATTTAAAATATTCACGAGTAAATATTATGCATGGCAATGCTCTGTCACATTTCTTGAACACAAGTAAATAAATTGAGATCATAAAATACCAGTGTTTTTTATTCACAAAATTTATCTAGAAAATTACTGGGAAATTTATCTCAAATTCATGAGAGGTTTGGTAGAAATTTGGTAAATCATTTGGGTTTTATAACATTTTTTGTTGGAGTTTGATTCATTTTAGATCTCGTTTGGCAACTAAGAGATTTAGCCTTTTAACTTATTTATTTATTTACATATTATAAAAAATTTAAAAGTTAATAAAATAGTCAATTTTTAAAAAAAGCTTTTAGTTGTTTAAACTTAGAGAGATTTGATCAAAATTTTCTCATAATAAATTTTTAATACATTAAAGACAAGTACAAAAAAAAATTTATAATAAGTTTAACAAATATCACTATTATCAAAATATTAAATTTTAAAATAATAATGTTGATTTTTAATAAAATTAATATTTTTAGAATTTTGTTATTAAGATCTATCAAATAAGATCTATGTAATTATTACTGTTAAAATTGATGTAAACAATGTTACTCTGTTTGATAGTAATATGTTACTCTATTTGATAATTACTCTATTTGAGAATAACATGTTATTTGGTTCACAGTAACATGTTACTCTGGCAATATTGACCAAGAAAGGAAAAAAAAAAAAAGAAAAAAAAGATATTTTATTTTGTCCTTATTCAATTATATGTTTTCTCCTTAGAGGTTTATGAAAAATAAATAAATTGGGTTATTCTTTTTACCAAATAATGATCCAATGGAAGGATTTTGAGATAAGGGAATGGCTTCTGTCCAGTCTTTAATCGGATTGGACTGTGTTGTTGGGCCTGTAGAGGCCCACCACGGGTCCTGTTGTGATAATCTGAACCGTTGAATGTGTAGAACTCGTTGAGTACTATATGCTTGTAAAAAATCACGTTGATCGGATTTCGATAGCTATGTGATCAAAACAGATATTTGTCAAACGTTAATTTATTCACCGTCAATTTTTTTTTTATAAAAAACTGAATTGATCACATAGCTATCGATATCTGATTAACGTGATTTTTTATAGGCATATAGTACTCGACGATTTCTACATATTAAACGGTTCAAATTATCAAAACGAGACCCGTAGTGGGCCTTCACGGGCCCAACAGCTGGACAGGAGCCATGCCCTTTGACTAAATTATTCTTAAATCTATCCATTAATTCAGATTCAGGTATGGGTAAGATAGCATTTTATCCCGGCTCTCCAAAAAAAAGAAATGGACAATAATATATAGGGCAAATTACATATACCCTTTCGAGATTTAGTAAAATTATAGATATCTCTCTGAGGTTTGAGAAATTACAGATATTCCTCTGATGGTTATATTTGCATAACAAATTAGGGGGCAAGTTGTTATAAAAATATAAATCTCATGGGACAATTTGTTATGAAAATATAAACTTTAGAGGGTATCTGTAATTTAACTAAACTTCAAGGGAGATATATGTAATTTGCCCTAATATATATTTACAGTTTAATAAAAAAAAAAAGGAAAAATAACAAATAAATGTAAAGGTTGCCACCTAAAATCTTTATCGTTATTTAATTATGTCTTTTCTTTCTAGGAATTTATGAAGAAAAATAAATTGGACTGTCATTTTCATCAAACAATGGTCCAATAGAAAGGTTTTGACTAAAGAAAAATATTTGGTAGCTCGAATTTTGTATAGCCCACATGACTCGAATGTATCAAAATAACGTTGTTCTAAGACATTCAAGCCATTCGGGCCATAAAAATTTGAGTTACCACGCATTGTTGTTGACAATTTTCCTTAAATCTGTCTATTAATTCAAATTCAGGGTAAGGGTAAGATAGATAGCATTTTTGAATGAAAAATGCTGTAAGTTTCAAATTTTTCACTAAATGAATGATTAAATGTCTCACAATGGACCCCACAAAAGTGGACCACACATTTGACATTTGGTCATTAATTTATTAAAAAATTTGATACCCCTAATATTATTCTTTTTGAATAAATATGTAACTCAAAAAAAGACAATGAAAAATAGAATAAGGGACTAATATTATGGGACGGAGGGAGTATATATTTATAGTTACATAAAAAAAAAGGAAAAATAACAAATAAATGTAAGGGTTGCAAAAAAAAAAAACCTCCAAATAATGATAAAGTTTATAAATTTTAATTATTAAAATTATTTTTATGTTTAAGTAATTATTTTTAAAACTTACATATTTTTCAAAAAAAAAAAAAAAGTCAAACAAACCAACAGCATCCATTCCTTTTCTGTCTCTCTCTCTCTCTCTCTCTTACACAAAATTGCTGTCATTGCTAACAACAGCAATTTATCCACCCTTTTTTTCTCTCCCCTCTCCCTCATCATTTTTAAACATAAATGCTCACCTTCTATATCCCCTCTCTCCCGCCAGATATCTGACGACCAATCCATCGCCGGAATCTGACCCACCACCACCACCATGGGCCACCAGACCCGTCGTGACTCACCCCACCAAATCTCCTCCCCCGTCGCCGGAGACTCCGACCTCCAATTTTCCTTCGGAAAGCTCGACGGCATCGACAATGACGATCTCCGCGACACCGCTTACGAGATCTTCTTCACGGCCTGTCGCTCTTCTCCTGGCTTCGGTGGCAGGAATCCACATCGTTTCACAGATTCTGTTATCCCTCCGACCCCGGCGGCGGAGACGGTGGTGGAGGATTTGGGCCTGTGTCTCCGGCGAGGGGTAATGGTAATAGTAATAGTAATAGTAATAATGGGGTGGGGATGCTGAGCAGGACGAAGAGGGCGTTGGGGTTGAAGATGATGATGAAACGGTCGCATTCGCGGCGGACTAATTCCATGGGAGGGACGCCGTCGTCCCCGCAGGCGGCGGTGAATGGCGGCGGAGGGAGTCCGGGGTTCTCGTTTACGGTGCCCGGCTCGATTAGGTCTAGGAGGCCGATGACTTCAGCGGAGATTATGAGGCAGCAGATGAAGGTGACGGAGCAGAGCGATAACAGACTCCGCAAAACTCTCATGAGAACTCTTGTTGGTCAGGTATGTATATATATATATATATACATATACACATTCTATTAAATCTATATAGCCTCCGTTTGAGAAGTGGGTTGGCTTTTTGGCTTTTTGACTTTTTTAGCCTGGGCTATTTTAGTCTGGTTTGGGAAGAGTTTTTTGGCTTTTTGGCTTTTTTGGCTTTTTTTGTGAGAGAGGATTGTAATGATTATGAGTTGGATTTGATGTTTTGTTTTTTGTGACTAAAATAGCCTATTTTGTTTTTTTGTAACTATTTTAGCCAAAAAAGCTCAAAAAAGCCAATCCCAAACAGAGGCATAGTATAATATTTCGAAATTATAAATAATAAAAAAATAAAATAAAAATCCAATTATAATAAATTTGTGAAAGTCTGTACTATATGAACCCAATCATAAATTGGTGTATTGTCATCATAAAATTTTGGAGTAATATTAACTATATCGTCACAAATTAACATAATAAAATATCTAAAAGTTTGACTTTATTTGACATCCTAAGTTGGGATTAAGTAGTCACAAAATAACAAAATAGACTAAAAAATTAATAAGACAAAATATCATATCTAAACCATAATTATTTAATTTTTTTTTCCCAAAAGTCAAAAAAATCAAAAAGTTTATCACAGACGAGATTTTTTAGTCTTGTTCCACAAAAAAAAAGGCTTTTCTAAATTAAAATAGTCAAAAAGCTAACCCATTTGCCAAATGAAGACTTTGCGACTTGATTTCGATATTTTTTGTTATATTAATTTGTAATAAAATTATGTATTTTATAATTAATGTTACTCCAATTTGTAATGTGCATATGGTATGCACCCTCAAAGGTGCACACTATACAATTTTTGATTTTTTTCTTCTCCTTCTTCTTATTATTATTATCATTATCATTTTTTTGTTTTTTAATAAATTTTTTTTTTTTTTACATATTTCTGCGTGCACATAATTTAGATTTACTAAAAAGTAAAATATTTTTTAAAAAATTTACAAACAAAAAAACATAAACAATTTTTTAAAACTAAAAATTTTTGACTAAATTATGGGGTGGGAAAAATCACTAAAGTCAAAAAATAACAAGAAAATAAAATAAAATAAATCAAAAATTAAAATAAATAATGTTAATAATTTAATTTTATTTTTATTTTTTTAAAAAAGTGGTAGACTAGAATTATTATATGAGTTGATAGTTTATTTTTATTTTTATTTTTTTTAAAAAGTGATAGACTAGAATTATTATATGAGTTGGATTTATGTCCCAAAAAAAAATAATAATAATAAATATTGCTAGCATGCAAAAGTGTTTAAAATTTAAAATCTACACTAATGTAAAAGTTTATTAAACCTTTACATTAGAGATTCAAAATTTCTGCACCTTTTTAGATGCATATACATTTCAGTAAATTTATAAACAAGAAAAATGTAGCATTGAATGTCAAATTTTGTGCACTGTTTTAGATGCATAATATACATTTCTGTAATGTAGCCTTAAATTTTGAATATGGATTGATTGGCATAATACTGTTAATAAGCAGATGGGGAGGCGACCAGAGACCATAATCCTTCCCCTAGAGCTCCTCCGCCACCTAAAACCATCTGAATTCAACGACACCTGCGAATACCACATTTGGCAAAAACGCCAGCTTAAAATCCTCGAAGCCGGCCTCCTCCTCCACCCTTCCATCCCTCTTGACAAGTCCAACACATTTGCTCTCCGTTTCCGTGACATCATCAGATCCTCCGAATCCAAACCCATCGACACCTCCCGTAACTCCGAGTCCATGCGCACCCTCTGCAACTGCATCGTCTCCCTCTCGTGGCGGACCCACGATGGCTCCACCACCGAGTCCCCCCATTGGGCCGATGGCTACCCCCTCAACCTCCACATCTACACCACCCTCCTCCGCTCCATCTTTGACCTCAAGGACGACACGCTTGTCCTTGATGAGGTCGACGAGCTGCTCGATCTCATCAAGAAGACTTGGTCGACCTTGGGGATTTCCAAGCCTATTCATAACTTATGTTTTACTTGGGTTTTGTTTTCGCAATATGTGGCGACGGGGCAAGTGGAGGGGGACTTGCTATGCGCGTCGCTCGCCATGCTGAATGAGGTGGCGAGCAACGTGAAGAGGGCGGAGAGAGAGGAGGAGGAGGAGGCGGATGCGTTGTATATGAGGATGGTGTCGGGGGTATTGAAGGCAATGAAGAGGTGGTCGGAGAAGAGGTTGATGTGTTATCATGAGAGTTTTAGGAGGGGGAATGTGGGGTTGATGGAGAACTTGCTTCCTTTGGTTTTTGGGGCGGCAAAGATTTTGGAAGAAGATGTTGAAAAAGGTGGTGTGGCAGCAGTAGCGGAGCAAGAGAAAGAGAAAGGTAAAGGGAATGTAGTGACGGTGGACTTTTCGGGGAATAGGGTGGACCACTACATCCGATCATCGGTGAAATTTGCATTCGCAAAGGTAATGTATATAAGCCATCTAAGAAGATTATGTTTAATTCTGTGATCGATTTATATGTTTCTTGACTTAAAAAAAGAAAAAGAAAAAATAGAATTAATGACCCGTTTCATAAATGGATGAAAGTTGAGCATGTGTCTTGCACACATGATATTTCAAATATTGTGGCATGCTTAAAATGATTTCATTCCTTTCTCAGCTTTTCTCTTTTTCCTTCTCCTTTCTCCCATCAATGTGAGCAGCCATGACTGGTTACGCTACGGCTGCCATGGCTGTTACCGTGGGTAAAGAAAAGAAAGAAAAGGGATAAATAATGTCAATTTAGGTATTCCACAATATTTAAGATGTCATGTACAAATCACGTAACAATTTTTCATGTATTTACAGAATGAATTCTTAACAAAAGGTTCATATTGATACAAATTGATAGTTTAAGTTGACAAAATGTAACATTTTTTAATCGAGAGAATAAATTGATATGAATGATAGTTTAAAGATTCATTTTATCAACCTAATACATTAATTTTGGTTTTGACTTGTTATTTTTTTGGTGGTTATGAACAAAAGTTGCTAGAGCATGGAAGTTTAAATGGCATGACATTAGAAGTACAAGAAGTGACTGAAGCTCTCATCCAGTTAGCCAAAGAGACGGAAGAACTAGCCTTGAAAGAGAAGATGATCTACACCCCTGTCCTCAAGAAATGGCACCCAATCGCAGCCGGTGTCGCGGCTGTGACACTTCATCCTGCTGAAGCAGTACTTGGCAGGAACATCATCGCTGACGAACGAGACGATAGCGATTCTGGAGAGAGCTGGGAAGCTTGAGAAGTTTCTGGTGCAGATGGTGGTTGAAGACTCTGTAGATTGTGAAGATGGTGGCAAGACTATTGTGAAAGAGATGGTTCTTTATGAAGTTGATTCAATTATATTGAATTTGTTGAAAGAGTGGATTCAAGAGAGGTTGAAGAAAGGGAAAGAGTGTCTCCAAAGAACAAAAGAAACTGAGGTATGTTTTTTGATTTGTTTTCTGCTAGATTTAGGCAACCCCATTAAGTTGCAAGGAAAATTTACAGGAAAAATTTCTTGAGAAAAATGAGTTAAAAGGAAATGTAAGGAAAATAAAATATAAGGATGAAAAATGTTTCCTTCAAAAAAATTGATAAACATTTTTTTGCAAGATCAAGACACATGAAAGAAAGGAAAGCAATTTTTACAAAGATAAGATATTGAAAGTAGTTTTTTAGAGTAACAGAATTGGAATTTGTGTTGGCAGACATGGAACCCAAAATCCAAAACAGAGCCATATGCACAATCAGCTGGGGAGATAATGAAAGTTGCCAAAGAAACAGTGGATTCATTCTTTGAAATTCCATTAGGAATGTCTGAGGATTTAGTTCATGAGCTTGCTAATGGCTTGGAGCATCTCATCCGGGAGTACACTACCTTCGTTGCATCATGTGGTAAGAAAAACCACCTCCTCTCTGAATTTTCTTACTCCAATTGTCTCTGTTTGTTTCTGTAGAAGCCATTTTAAGAAATATTTTTCTTGTTTTTTTAGCATTTGGTACCATTTAAAACGAAAGTTTAGGGTAAACATTTTTTGTAAACAATGAAAAAAAGATTATTTGGATAGAATAAAAGGTGAAATATGTTTTCCACATTAAAGTTTCACCAATGCCAATGCTACCACCACCTCCACCATCCCACCACCACCACCACCACAACCATCACAACCATCACCACTAACACGACCACAACAATCAGTATATTAGTTTTAAGGCACAACTAAATTCAGAAAAGAAAAAGTCTAGAACTATAGCAATTCATCATAGAAGCAAACATAGTCCTTTAAATGAGGTAGGTCTTATTTCTAGGTGCCACACCTATGCGAAAGGTTTGTGTTTGGTTCTGGGATTCATTTTTATGCATTGGAAGAATTGTATAGAAAAATATGTTTAATTGAAAACATTTTATAAAAAAAAGTGTTTGTTTCTATTTTTATTTTTTATTTTTTATTTTTTCTGCTAAAACAAATGGAGCATTAGTACTCAATCGATTTGACTTTTTGCTAAGCTTTGTCAATTCCTTGTGTTCTTGTTATTAGGATCAAAGCAGAGTTACGTACCAACCCTCCCTCCCCTAACCCGTTGCAGCCGAGACTCAAAGTTTTTCAAACTATGGAAAAAAGCCAGCCCCTGCAGTGTTGGAGTAGAAGACATACACCTAAACGGTTCAAATGAAGGCCACCATCCCCGACCCTCGACAAGCAGAGGAACACAACGCCTCTACATTCGCCTCAACACCTTGCACTACCTCCTTTCCCACCTCAACTCCCTCGACAAATCCCTCGCTCTCTCCCCCCACCTCGTCTCCACCACCTCCCCCCACAACCACCATCGCCGCCGCTCCTCCCTCACCACCGCCTCCTCCTCCTACTTTGACCTCGCCCGCTCCACCATCCAATCCGCCACTCAACACGTCTCCGAAGTGGCTGCCTACCGCCTCATCTTCCTCGACTCCAACTGTGTCTTCTTTGAGAGCCTCTATGCTGAAGATGTCGAAAACTCACGCATAAAACCCGCTTTGCGGATCCTAAAGCAGAACCTGACGCTCCTGAGTGCGATCGTCACTGATCGTGCTCAGCCGTTAGCGATGAAAGAAGTCATGAAGGCATCTTTCGAGGCCTTCTTGACGGTTCTGCTAGCTGGTGGGAGCTCCAGGATCTTTAACAAAACAGATCACCTGATGATCGAGGAGGACTTTGAGAGTTTGAAGCGGGTTTTTTGCGCATGCGGTGAAGGGTTGATTGCGGAGGACGTGGTGGAGAGGGAGGCTGAGATGGTAGAAGGGGTGGTGGCGCTTATGGGGCAATCTACCGAACAACTTGTGGAGGATTTTAGCATTATCGCTTGCGAAGCTAGCGGGATAGGGATTGTTGGAGGGCAGAGACTGCCCATGCCCCCGACGACAGGAAGGTGGAATAGATCAGATCCGAATACAATATTGAGGGTTTTGTGCCATAGGAATGACCGCTCTGCGAATCATTTCTTGAAGTGCACATTTCAATTAGCAAAGAGAAGGTGATGGATGGTCATTTTCGTGTGTACAGTTGCGAAAGATCGATACATTTTTTAAGGTAAATGTGAAGGAATGAAGTGAAATTTGTAAGAGAGGTCTCAGTGTAATTTTTTGACGTTGTATCAACATGTTTTGGGGGGGAGGGGGGGGGGGGTGTGTTGAGGGAGGAATGTATTAATTTTGTTGGCTCTTCATTCTTTGCAGTAACTAGGCAGTAACAGTGGTTTTTGGTGGGAACATGTGGAAATTGGATTTTTTTTTCTTCTTTCTTTTTTTTTTCGTCTGCCTTTTGTGTAAACTGGGTATTTGAATGTTGAAAAAGAGATTTGAAATGGGAAGTTTGATTGTATGATGGAGTGGTTAGGCCTAATTTTGTTGATGAGTGGCTTCAATTCAATGCTTTGCTCTTGAACACTCAGAACAACAATTTATTTGATGATCTGTTGTGAAAACTATTTTGATAAGACTGACACGACTCCTTTTGGCATTTGACCCCTGTGATTGCGGTTTGATGTTATACACTTTTGTTCAAGTTATGTGGCTTGTTGTCTACTGGGAAGACATTCTAATGGTTGTAGTTTGTGTGTGGTAAAGATGTTGGGTGCAACGCTAATGTTCGTGCCACTGAGCAATAAGACCAACCAGTAGGATAGGGTGAGATCGACGTTGTCTCTCAGTTTACTGAAAGTAATCCCACAAGGACCTTATGTGAAGTTTATTCGTTGATTGTTGATACTATGTGCCAATATTGTAGCATAATATCATTGTGACACTCTTTTTGGACTGACTGGAATAGTAAAGCCATGGAATCATAGAGTTATCTACAATGTTGTTGGATGGTGTAAATTTGATTTTGTACAGTGAGACCCACTCTTGAAATATATCTCAACATTTCAATGTTTTTTCTGGATATATGTCTGGGTACCTAGCATTGCTGTAACTGTTGAGTTATGGGCTGTAGAATTTTGATAAAAACAGGTTTGTTCAAATATTGGTGAATTCCCAAGAGAGTCTTGCAAAAAACAAGTTTTCAAGTTAATGCATTCCCTGTTTTGGAAAACACTTTCAGAGCAATTCAATGACAAGACAACCACTTCCATGCCTTTACATGACAATATTTAATTCCTTTTCCTTTCAACAAGTGTAAACACAATTCATTATAGTGAGGCAAAAGAAAATCCTACATAGAGTGTCCCCCAAAACCAATCACCCCAACTAGAACCAACCAATTGACACCTCATCAAGAACCATTTCTTGACTGGTTTGGTAAAGTTGGAAATCTTGTTACAATCTTTTCATCTTCCCCAATTCACATGATCACAAACCTAAGCCACTGGCTCTGCTATAGTAGGCACCACATGTGTTGATCCACCACCCAATTCTTGTCTAAGAACTTCCATTGAATCCGATACTTCAGCCTTATATACATAGAACTTAGTCATGAAAAAGAAAAAAATCAAATTCAAGAAGTTGAGTATCAAGAAAAACGCGTAATAGTAGTCAAGATGGGAAGCATTGAGGTTGTTCAAAATCCACCCTTTTTTGTGACCATGGTCCTTTGTGACATGAGCAACCGTTGAGAGAAGAAAGCTACTAAGGAAGTTCCCAATCCCTAGACTAGTCATGGAATAGGAAGTTCCAAGGCTCTTCATGCTCTCTGGCGCCTGATCATAGAAAAACTCAATTTTGGCCACCTCTAGAAACGCATCTGCCGTGCCCATAAGCACAAATTGAGGAAGTAAGACGAAAATGGTTAGAGGCACTTGTCCCCCATTTACTAAACCATGACTTTTGGCCACGCTAAGCCGGTACCTCTCAGTTAGGGATGCAATTAGCATAATGATGATGTGGAGGACCATCCCAATTCCCATTCTTTGAAGGAGAGTGATGCCTCTAGGGTTTTTAGTCAATTTTCTCATTATCTTGACAAAGTATTGGTCATATAACACCACACAGATAAGCATTGAAATTGTTACGAATCCAGCTAAGCTGGCTGCCGGTATTTTGAAGCCACCAACATTTCTGTCTAGGGTTCTGCCTTGCTTGACAAAGAGTGTGTTCACTTGTGCAATCATGGTGCTTGGAATGAATGTGGCAATTAGGATCGGTATCATTCTTAGCATTTGTTTGGTCTCCTCTACTTGAGTTACTGAACATAGCATCCATGGACTAGTAGAACTTGTCCTTACACAAGCTTTGTTGAGGAACCTGCATAAAAAAACTGATGATATTTAGATCATCCCAAAAAAATTAACAATAAAATTATCTGGGGCTGCATCTTGGTCTCCAAAAGCTAATGTAATGTAATTATTAATGTTGCTAATTCTGTTTTATTTTTTGGAATTACAAAATGTAGGACACATGTTTTTGTTTTTTGTTCCATTTTTGCGACAAAAATAAAAATAAAAATTACGCACATATGGTTTCAAAACAAATAAAATTAAAAGTAACAAAATATTTTTTGTTGAGTTGCTAGAGTGGCCAAAGGAGAAAATTGGCTAGAGGGGAAGTGCCTAGGGGTTGCTAGAGTGGGAGGAGAGTTGGCAGAGGAGAGGGAGGGAATGTAAATTTATTTTCAGAATAAGTGAAAACGATTTTTTTTGTTTTCAAAATTTTTAAAAACTATTGCCATTTTCGGCAACAAAAACAATTTAGCAAAAACACTATCGCTTCGAATTTTCAAGGTTATTGAAACATTAAACATTAAACATTAAACAAAAAAGAAAAGCATTATCAAACATATCCTAATTCTAAATTTTTTTAAAAGATAGATACAAACCAAGTAACATATCTACCATTGTACAAAATAGTAATTTTAAAGGATAGATGCAAACCTCAAGGTTGGTGTGGAATCAATCCTATACTTCCCTTTCTTGGTATACTCTTCCAAATCAAGTTCATAGAGGTCTTTAGGGTCACTAGGAATGGGTACCCTCCACTTCCTTAGGGCTGCCACTATGACCCTACCCATCCTTGTGAAGGGACTCCCAGTGGGCACCTTATGCCTATAATAGGGTGTGCCAACTAGAAAAATCAAAATGGATATGGCAAGGCCCGCGGTCGGAAGCCCATATCCCAAAGCCCAACCCACATTGTCTTGAATGTACACAAGAATTGTGTTGGCAAAGAGTGTCCCAAAGAAGATACTGAACATCCACCAGTTGAAGAAGGAAAGTTTATGGGCCTTCTCCTTGGTCTCGAACTCATCGAATTGGTCTGCCCCGATGGTCGAGATGTTGGGCTTTGTGCCGCCGGTCCCAACGGCTAATGTGTAGAGTGCACCATAAAATAGGGCTAGTTGGAATGTTGAGGCCTTTTTGCAGTTGGCAAAGTTTGGGTCTGGGTGTGGGCAGTGAGGTGGTCTAAGTCCAGAGACTGAAACTGTCATGGTTAGTAGTGACATGCCCTGCAAATTAGAATAAAAAGGCCCAATTTGTCAAATGTTGATCAATAGTACATTTTGACAAAATTTCAATTTTTTTCTCTAATAAAAAACAAGCCGTAACTATTTACCTGAAAAAATATTCAGAAAAGTGTCTAAAATTTAAATGTATGAAATCAAAATTATCTGCATTTTTTTGAGTAATTTTCTAGCTCCGTGGCATGGACAAGTTAAAGAAATAAAGAAAAGATAGAAATATAGGTTTCATTTTGATTTCTTAGTCCAACAAGACATTTTCCCTCTTTTTCTTCCTACCGCTTACACATGGGCCTTGTTTGGTGTAGTTTATGGAATTGCTTACAATTTTTTTTTTCTTTTTTTAAATTTGTGTTATAGTGTTTGATATAGCTTTTGCTTACAATTTATGAGACAAAAAATAACTTATATAATTTTTAAAAAACACTACTTATTAATTGAAAGAGATACTTTTAACTTTTATTTTCTAATTATCAAATTTCAACGTACAAAAAATTAAACCAAACATGTCCACAATAACAACTCTCCCATACATAACAAGAGTAGGCATGCAAATTTGGCCCACCGGACCAAGCCCGGCCTACTCTAGTCTGCCTTGGAAAAGCCCAACCCGATTTATTGTCTTAACTTGACTGGGTAGATTAATGCTGTGTTTGGTTAGGGGATTTGAGGAGGAATTTGGAAAGAGAAATGGAAAAGATAGGTGAAATGTGAATAAAACATGTCTATATTTCACCTAGTTTCACACACCTTTTCCCTTTCCCTTTCCGAATCCCTCAACCAAACACAGCGTAAGGGCCAACCTATGTGATGGACTTAAGCACTTGTTTGGGGTGATATATTTTAGATCATTTTTTTATTTTATTTGAATCACATTAATTTTTTATTTGAGTTATATCATCTTTTTATCATCATATTGTACAATTTTTTCGTAAAAAGTCAAAAAATATATATATGTCCTATACACTTTTTTTAATGCACTAATAAGTATTAAAATATTTATTTTATCCCAACACTTTTTTAGAATATTGATAGATAAAAAAATGGAGTACAACTGATAGATAAATAAGTTTGTTCAATCTCGTAAGTCTCCCAAAAAAATATTTAAAATCCGAGGGAGGGCTGGACAAAAGCATCAACCTCAGGACCATGGGCTGGGCCTAGGCCCAATAGTTTTGGAAATTGGCCTGGGCTGGATGGCGCAAACATGTCTTGCTCTTGCACAAGCATCCAAGCTTTCACTGTGGAAACTCAAAGCCACTTGGGCCTATTAGCTTCTTTTAGTTCTTATCCTAGTATAACATTTAAATAAGTGCATTTTTTACTTTTTATGAAATATGGGTTGGGTATGGATTGGGTTTGAAATGATGTGATAGAGGGGTGATGTAACTTAAATAAGATGATACGACTTAAATAGGATAGTGACTTTTTGACTTTTTTTGGTTATACCAAACCAAGTCTTATTATATAATAATAAGTGTTTATTACACTTTCTATTCTTAAACTATCACTAAATTATCTACTTAATTTATGAACTGTCAATTGAGTCTGCTCAGTCCCTATCTCCGTTTGATTAGAAAGAAAATTTGATAGAAAGTAAAAGTAAAAGAAAATGAAGTGAAAGAAAAGAAATAGAAAAGAAAATATATTTTCTTGCAAGTATTTGATTAAGATAAAAAATTTGTAAGAAAAAGATCAAAAAATTAAAAAATTTAGTCATAGATAACTTGCACATTTAATTTTTCTTGTATTTCCTTGTATTTTTTGCAAGAAATAAAAAAAATTAGTTACAATACTAATATGGCTTGTACAAGAAAGTTAATTTTTTTTCATACTTTCCATTACTTTCAAGCTAAACAAACTCGTAAAAGTTAAATTATTTTCTCTTTCTTTCACTTTCTACATATTTCATTCTAAACGAACTGAGCCTAAAGTATATACATTAAAATTCATTTAATTCCTAAAAATCTATTAAGTCACTAAAGTATTTAATTCAAATCTATTTAGTCCCTAAAAGAATTACAAAAATAAAATATAAGCTGATAAGTGTTATAAATTAATAAAAGACCTTCTCTAATTAAAATATAAGCTTTTTATCTAATATTATATACCGGATTTCATTTATATTTCTTATTAATTGTTTTTAAATTTTTTGCTAAATTCTTTTTAATAATTTAATTAATATATTATTTTGTTCTATTATAAATCTTAGTGAAGTGATTCAAATTATCTAGCTCTATATTTTCAACATGTTTAATACTTACATAATCTTATTGGCAAGACTGAGCAACAGACTCTGATACTAATTTAAACACACAATGAAAAAAATTCTTTTTAAAAACAAAATAGAAATTTAAGATTTTTTTGAAATAAAATCTTAACTTGATAGAGGCTTTTACTAATTTATAAGGCTTATATTTTATTTTTGTAATCCTTTCAAGAACTAAATAGGTTTGAATTAAATATTTTAAGAACTTAATAGATTCAATTGATAGTTTAAGAACTAAATAGATTTTACTTTATAGGGTAAACTACCAATAGGTTATAAAGTTGGACTTAATTCTCATCAAGTCCTATTGAAAATAAGTCTTAGTAAAATCGTCGCTAAAAATAGTTTTTTATGATATTTTTTGCATATATCGCTAAAAATTGACAGTTAGTGACTTTTTTTTTTCTCACGATTTTGCATAAATTATCATTAGAACTTACAGTTAGTAACGTTTTTCTATGACGGATTTTTAAATTATCATTGAAAGTTGAAAATTAGTGACTTTGTGATAAGATTTTCAAACCGTCGCTAAAATTAAAAATTAGTGATATTTTTTCATAGTATTTGACGAAAAACGTCATTAATTATCATCAGACCTATTAGACAATAAGTCTACCTATTAGAATCTATATGTAAGTTCTCCTAATTTATATATGTTAGAAATTAAATAGATTCAATCAATAACTCTGAAACTAAGTCAATAATTACAGTAAAAAGTGTGATAAATCCTAATAATAATAATTGAAGATAGACACACAAAAGTCATTGGTAGATGTTTTGGGAAGATGGTAAAAAGATGACTTTTGATTTTTACCAAGCTTTTTGACTTTTTTGAAAAGTGATTTAGAAAGTTGGTAAAAAATTACTTTTGACTTTTTTGATTAATATTTATTTATGATGTCACATCACAATAGAATGACCAAATTACTCCCATCCAATTTAATAAATTTACATTTTCATCCATAGATAATCCTAAACAACATAAAAAATATGATTATAATTTCAAATATAACTTTTTAAGACTTCCTAAATGACTTTCATGTTAAAAAGCCAATCTAACTTTTTAATGGTCCTGTTTGGTACAGTTTCTTTCAACTTATTTTAACTTTCAACTTAATTTAAGTTATTTTGATGTGTTTGGTTTAGCTTAACAATGCAGCTTATAGCTTTTTGTAAGTCAAAAATCAGCTTATTCTTTGAGTGAGGCAGGAAAAGTTTAATTTATATGTCAAAAATCAGCTTATGTTCATAGTTATAAGTTATAAGCAGTTAAGGCATAAACTATAAGCACTTTCCCATAATTCTACCAAATAGGGCCAATCCCAGACTGCAAAACGCAGCTTTTAAACTTGGTTAGCAAATGGGCACATACTCAAGAATTGCGGCTTAGGTTTGATTATATAACTGTGGACTCTCAGACCTTGAAAACAGTGGTCCATTTTGTCACATGCATAGGTGATATTAATTGTCAATGCTCAATGCACATATAGTCTATTATTATATGCTCATTTTGTAGTTTTGCAATCAAAGAAATCTTACCAAACTGTTGCCTTTATTAAAAAACAGAAATTCCAAGTCAAACTTTCATATGCTAATAATACACAAATTCCAAGGATTGTCATGCTCACTGACTTAAATAGTTAGGCAGCAATGCCACAATCTCAGACTAAATATATTACAAAAGCAACCGAAATAAAATATTAATGGTCTAAATTTATTTAAAATATGATTTCACAACAATAATTCTCTGTGTACCATTGATATGAAAATCTTGTTAACTTTATAGGACCCTAGACTTTTTCATAATTAAGATAATTATGCCTATAAAGTATTGTTAATGGTGTTATAAAATGAATGTAATTAATGTATAGTGTTCGGAGAGATATTACCGGGACGATAATAACTACGATTGGTGTGTGACATAATGACATAGTATTCTTGAACATCAAATAATTTTTCCAATAGATATTCACATGCACAACATAATTTTTCTAATAGCTAGATATTTTGAAATAGGATCTATATCTTGTGATCCGTGATCTCAAGAATTTTTAGTGACAAAGAGAGTCAAGCCTAAAACATTAGAAGGCCTCATCCACCAGCCAGACCTTTGAGAATATGTAATTGTTGTTCTATTCATTTAGTAAAATACTGGTTCAATTTGTTGAATTGATATTTCACGACAACAAAATATTTGAGACCTATTTGTTAAAGATTATAATTTTCTATTCATATTTATAGAATTTTTTGAAATTATAAATAAAAACTCGTTTGGTTTTTACTTTTTGTTTTTAAAAAATTATAAACAGTTTATAAAATTTATTAATTTATAAACACCAAAAAAGTTAATTTCACTTGTTTAATTTAATTTATTATTATTTTTTAAATTTTTTTTCTTGTCCTTCCATTGTTTTCGACCACCACCCATTGCTTATCACTATCGGCTACCATTGCCAATGTCCTTTGTCAACACCACCTCTAGCCACCGTCAATCACCTCTCACTCACCTTCGACCACCATCTTTCGCAATCGACAACTATTTCCGGCCACCATTTTCAATAGTTGACAATCACTTATTTTCAAAATAAAATTTTAAATAGTTATGTGGCAAACACATTTTTAATTTTCATTTTTACTTAAAATAAATATAAATATATTTAATATTGTATGTAAATTAAAAATAATAAATCATAAACGTTTCCATAAGTCACTTTGACTATGCAATGGGAAATTCTTGGAATTCAGAAGATCTCTCTACACGCAATAAACAGGAGTTTGTCCACTCCATTTGGCATGCAATAAAAGAATGCCGACTTAAGTCTAGGTAGGTTCAAGTTGATAAGTTCATGTGATGAGGTAGAGTAGACCTGGCATTCGGTTGAATTTTGATTATATTAAGGTCATTATTTTTCATACTCGTTCTTATTAAATTATATGACATGTCCGCCCTTCTAACCCACCAATATAATAAATAAAATTTTGGTATCATGATTGAAACATAATCAATATTATGATTGCATGTATATATGTGAATACATTGCATAGGTTTAAAAGAATCTAATTTTTAAAATGATTCTTGCTTTTGGTGGTTTCCAAGATCTTTCCAATCCAATTGAATTGGGTTTCGGTCAATTAGCTGATGCGGTCAAACCAAAACTACCCACTAGCGGGGTACTTACGTATCCGTTTTGAACGGTTTGCCTTGTGATTTGGACTCGTTTATATATTTACAATTTGAGAAAAATTAAACTTGTAACCGTCTATAGTGCGGGTTATGATTTGTACGGATAGGCTTTACAGATATACGGACAGTTTGCGAATTGAACTTTTTCTTTTAAAAAATTATTTTTGGGCCGGTTTTTCCCCATTTTCTAAATATTTATTTTGGGCACTCTCTCCTCATTTTCTAAATATTATTTTGCCTATAAAATGACATATTTCTTATCATAAAATCATAATTTTTGAATGAGAAGAAGATCCTTAAAAAACTCTAAATATCAATAATTACTTTAGAACATCAATAGATAATGAATTAAAATTTATAAAATTAAAAATACAACAAAATCAATTCTTAACACAAGCAAAACAAAAATCCACCTACTAATATGGAAGATCAAGATCTACAGTCCAAAATTTTTTGAAAAAAAAAAAAAAAAGAGTATAAGTGTGGGCAAGTGTGTGCGGGTGCGGGTGCGGGTGCTGGTGAAACCTGCAATTTGCACGTAACACGAAACATGCCAATATTTCAAACCGCATCCAACCCTACTACAGGTTTGAAACCACCGCACATGTGTGAATTGAATCAAATTAGGTGCTTTTCATGAGTAGAATGACCTTATGACTAGGACTAGTTGATAAATATGGATGAGATTTTTGTTAGTCAATAATATTAAAATAATTAAATTTTGAAAAAAACTTTAAATATTATCTAATATCTCATTATTATATTAGTTTAATAAATTTCACTATTCAAGTTTATAAAAATGATCAGCAAAAAATTATAGCACCCCAATCATTTCTCTCCACATTCTTATGTCTCTTTATCCCAATGTTTCCTAGTCAAAAAAATAAATAATGAGATTTTTGTATTTTAAAAAATTTCATATCATTTTATAGTCGACCATGCATTGAAACTAAGATTCTATTTAGAAATTAACTATTTTAATTTGTTACAAAAGGACATAACAAAATAGAAAAAGTGATATGATACCTTATTGGCACTTTTTGATTTTTGAGCTTAGGCTATAAACCTACCTTCCCAAACGGAGCCTAAGGAACAAAAAATTCTTGGACCAAATTTGGTGATAGTAACGTTTTTACCATTTTATTGGATAAATGACTAAAGAAAATGTTATAGAAACTAATATTCTTACAATTTTTTTTTACTTATTTATTTGTCATGTAATAATGAAATTTGATATTTGAAATGAGACCAACTCACTATAATAATAGGATAAATGTCACATTAATTAATAAACAAATTTACTAAAATTTATATAGCATTATTATTTTTTTATAATTGCTAGCAACTAGCTAGCATTAGCTCAGTAATAAAAATTTGTATATCTCATTAGGAGATTACTGTCCAATTTCTCCTACCATTTGATTTATTTAAAAAGCAGATTTATTAGCAATTTTGTTATTAACACAAAAATCGATCACAAAAATAATGAATAGACAACATTTTTTTAGACGTCGATAATCTCACGAATACATTTTATAAAATTATATCTACTTACTTACATATATATAATTCATTCTAAAATTGATTTTTGTGTTTTTCGACTTATGCAATTATTAATTGTAAGATGAAGAAGATGGTGATCGGGTGCAAGTAGACGTACCAAGAGATAAATAACAGAAGCGATCACAAACGTCCAATAACGGCCAAGATGAGCATCTGCCACGTAGGCACCCAAGATAGGGGTCATCCAAATAGTCCCAACCCAATTAGTGACGTTGTTGGATGACTTCACAGTCCCTTGATGAAGCTTATCGGTTAGATATACGACTAGATTCGATGAGATACCATAATATGCCATACGTTCAAATACCTCGTACACTGTCACCAAATCAAAACCAAATAATTATAAACTCATAAAAAAAAAATTTTAAAATTTATGAATTTTATCCTTATCTGATTTATTTATTTATTTATTAAACTTACACTCATCAATTGTTATTTTTCCAAACAAAAATGGTCGATAGAAAGGGTCAAAATGACGACGATTGCTTAGCTGCCGTCTGATGTGCATAAAAAAAGTGCATGTCACATAGAGAGAGATATGTGCAAAGTAGAGTGGAACCTTTAGAACTCTTGCTATTTTAAAATAAAATTTTCAAACTCAATAATAAATTTTAAATTTATTTTCTAAACCTAAAATATTATTTACTGATGTTGTGTTTTGAAAATACAATATTAAGTTTTGAATCATATTATAAATATAAAAATGCTAATGACAGTCTATTGATTGTCAATAGTATTGATAGATGTATATAAAGTGTATCACTAAATATCGATAGTGTACACAAAACAAAACAAAACAAAATAAAATTATTAAAGTGTAAAATGGGTATTAGAGTTAGTTTTATTGGCCTTATTTAATCCATAAATTAATGGATATATTAAGCGATTGTTAGCTGGACTTCTTTTTTTTTTTCTTTTTCATTAGTGGCTTTTTAAAATGATTAAAGTATATTTTTTGACAAAAATAATTTTGTTAAATAAGTCAAAACTTTTTAATAAAATGGACTTTTCAACCAATAAGCTTCCACCAAATGAAGTCTAACTTGGATTTGGTAAAACAACTCCACAAAGATGATTGCTTAGCTACCATCTCATGTGCATAAAAAAATATAGGAAAAATTATATAAAAAAGAAAAATCACGATACAAGTCTTATAACAAAATAAATATTTTAATTTTAATTTTATTAATTTAAATCTTAATTTTTTGATTTGTTTTTAATTTAAATCATTAAGTTTTTTTTTTTGAAGTAAAATTGCTATAAAAATGTATTTTAATCATTAAACTCGATGAAAAATGATATTTTGGATATTTTACATAAATTTACATTGAGTTTAATGACTGAAATAACCTTTTTCTACAGGTTTTAATTAACAGAAATAAATAAATGATTTAGATTGAAAAGAAATCAAAAGATTAATGTTTAAATTAATAAAATTAAAAACTTTTAACAAAAAATTGATAATATAATATTTAAGCCTGAAGATTATTATTATTATTATTTTACAATTTTTCAAAAAATATGTGTTTATATGTACAATAAAAAAATAAAGTGTGAAAATGTCGAGACGTGCAAAAAGGAGAGGACATCTTTGGAAGAAGGGGAGGCCCAATTGAACTTTGAGGTTTGCTTTAATATTCAGACACGGAGATACACACACAATACAGTTTTGATTTGACACAAAAAGCACGACATATGAACGATTCATGTCTAAAATTTGACTATAATAGGTTTATTTTGGGTTAGCTTGTAGCATTTCCAACATTTATTTTTTTTTAAATCAAATTTAAGCAAAAATTTTATCAAATATATAGCGTTCTAACGGATAATTCACATTTATGATTGGGTGGATATCCGGTCGGTTGACCGGTTTGTGTAAATTGATCAACACTTTCATGAGCAATTTTGTAAAAAGGAAGTCGTTTGGGAGGATATCCAAGAGGACTTTCGGTCCAATTATCACCTATAAATTTGATAAAAGGATAAAACTCTCTTGATTTGATGAAACAAGTAACTCTTTCCTTATTTTATATCAATTTAACGAAAGAATTGGAACTTACGTTTTAAGTATTTTTTATCAAATTTAAATTTGATAAAAGATCTGATGAAGCATTGGACACGCTCTTAGCAACAATTAGGAATTCGTTCTTTTTAGATAATTAAACTTGGTTAGTGCAATGGTTAAATGACTGTATTCTTGTTTTAAACTATCAACAATGATTTAGACCACTAAAAAATACATCACTAATAGCACTAATGCATTGGGAATGGTAAAAAAAAAAAAAAAAAAAAAAGAAAAAAAAAGAAACAAGGCATAGAAAGTGGGCGGGACCCACTGCCATATCATTAGTGGTCCTTCTAGTGCTCCATTTCTAGTGCTCCCAAACATTTTTCTTAAACTATTTACACTTATTTTAGTATGTCTTCAGATTTAATATTTTAAAATTTTTACCTAATTTAATAATTGTAAATATTTTGAAATAGAAGAACGGAAGACATTTGAAGACAAAGGACACAAAAGAAGAGGAACAATGTTGGGATGACTATTTTTGCTTTCTTATCATAATTTGTTCATCATCTTATATATTAACATTAAATTGATTTAATGAGTCTCACCACTTATTCTTATTACTAATGGAATGTTGACGCATGAAATAATAAAGGATAAATTACACTCATCTCTTTTGAGATTTAGAAAAAATATAATTAACTCCATACTATTGATATAATTACACTGGTCTCCTTTGAAATTTTAATTCACAAACAATTAGATAATTTTTTATCAATAATTAGTTAGTCGTGTGAATGACAAAATGATATTATCATATATTTTCTACTAAAATAGAATTTGCATTAGTTTCGATTACTTTAGTCTTATTAAAATGGAGTCAGTATAATTATATTAAAAGTATAAAACTGGCTATATTTTTAAACCTCAAAAGAGTTGAGCGAATATAATTTACCCTAAATAAAATATAGTAAGAAGAGATTATCATTCCAGTATAATTGGGAAACTAGGACATCAAGTAAATATCGATTTTTTCATAAGTAAAAGTCTATTCTTAAATACCAAATTTATATAATAAAAGAAAATGCATTCAAAATGTCATGATAATAACATTTTTTAAATCAAGAATCTTGTTGATAAGTGATTCTTTTTGAAGTGAGCGGTCTCAATTTATTTGTGCTTTTTAAAACTTCTCTTATTTGACTCCAGAGAGAATTGTTACACACTAATCACTATTTCTTACATTTTTTTTTTTTTGTTTTTTATTTTATTTTACATATTACAAGAAAAGAGTTTCTGGATTGTTCATATGGAGGTACTATGTGGTTGAAAACTATAATGACAGGATGAGATAGTACTGAGCCAACCACCTCCCTCAATAATAATAACTTTCGAAATTTAAAAAAAAATGAAAATTAAAGCAAATTAGACCTAGAAATGTGTTCTCTCCTCTTTGCTTTTCACTACATATAAACATGCTTCAAATTTAACTAGATTATTACTGGTTTAACTTCAAATCTTCATGATGGAAGATTGAATCTCACACACACACACACACACACACAAAAAAAACTATCTTTCATCATTTTCTATAATGTTAGATTCACTAAACAACAAAGTTGAGAAAAAGAAAACACAATGAGAAATGAAGAAAATCTGACAATTCTAAAAGATGGAGCAAACACCATTGGTGGCAACAGGATTGATTGTTTTTTTTTTAAAAAAAACTCTAACTCTATAGTTTTCATAACTCCCACTAAACTACTAAACAAGGATCATCGGCAGAATGACTCATCTGTTTCTAAATTTCTCTATCCCTCTATTATAATCCACTTCTAACAATATTATAATGGTTCGAAATTCTCACCATATTATGCTATTTTCGAAATTTATTAGAACAAATAAGAAGATGATTTGAGATCAGAAAATCGTTAGCCGCTTTCAATAATTATGAAGCCATTAGAAATGACAAGTGTCCTAAAAGATGTGGTGGCAATATGTGAGTTGTTTCCTTGTGGGTGATCATCAACTAGAGAGAGAGAGAGAGAGAGAGAGAGAGAGGGGTACCAACAACAAAGGAGCATGCCTTCCAACCACCTCTCTTGGACCTAAGGATAGGGTTCCCTTTGAGATCCACAGTTCCATCCTCTGTGTAACCAGCATGCCCTTCTTCAGTAGCCATAGATTTTGCTTACTTCTTTGTCCTTTCTTGTTAGAGAGGACTCCCTACTAGTAAGTGTCCTGGAGCCAAACCCTTTTTATAGACCACTCCTTCCTTTACCCATAGTATATCAGTCTTTGGATAATTACCAAAATGCCTTTGACTTCAGTTGTCTTTAGGTTCTTTGACTTCAGTTGTCTTTAGGTACATGAACCCATGGAGAAAAAATAAAAAATAAAAAAACAAAGAAGAAAAGGAAAAAAAACAGAAAAAGAAAAGAGAGGACAGATTCCAGTATGAGATGCTTCTTTATTGAAAACTACAATCTCCTTACAAGTTGTTCATTAGATGACAAGGTAGATAATTTAGCTAATATGATATGATTGACGTCTACTGATAAGGTCACTCTTATTTTAGACTACATAAACCTCCTCTTTTTCAGTCCACATTTTTTTTGGGGGTATTTTTGGTCTACAGCTGGCCTGCTTTGGACCATAATTTGGACTTTTTTTTTCTTCTTCCAGTTTTTCATGGAGGTAGTAGATTTGATAGCTGCAGAGTTTTTTTATGCCTTCGTTCAACACAGTTATATATTATTGTTTTGGGTAACTTAAACTATTGATCCCGTTAATTTGAATGAATATTTGGTTCAAAGTAGTGTTAATTTGAACGTAGTGTTAATTTAAATAATTTAGTCCTTATATTTCAATTTTGTTACAATATGATTTATTTGTCATACGTTGTTAATATTTTGAAGGAAAAAAAAATCATGTGAAAAATTAGAGAGATTAAATTGAAATTCAAAACAAACTATATAGATCACTGGTATAATGAATATTTGGTTTCTCTAATATTACACATGATTTTTTTTCGTTCCAAATTCTAATGGAAAATGACGAAAGGCCCCCATTTTAACAAAATAAAAAACATAAAGTTTAAATTATTCAAATTAAAACTCTGGGGATTAAAGTGACAACTCATTTAAACTATAAAGACTAATAGTGTAATTTACCCTATTATTTTTCACAATTTTAGTACAATGGATTTCACACAATAATATTCAACGAATTGTGATTGTGTAGATTAGGTAGGTGATAAATATAATGAGCTAAAAAATGATAAATGTTGCATCATTATTAAGTCACATAGCATGTCCATGGGATTACATACAATGGGAAAATTGTTGGTATTATGTAAACATGAAATTAGTTATACTATGTTTAATTAGAGTAAGGGGGGACAACTTCTCTTTTGTGGATAACTAATCTGATTGAACTTCTAATCCCTTATTTCGGCCGACCAAATTCAGCAAGTTTTATAGAATGGAAAAATTATTTAATAATCTCAGAATATTATGTAGTCATACTCCAAGTCAATTATCAATTATTTAGTCTTATGTTGTTCTCTCATCCCCAACATAAATTGTAGGCCTTTACCCCTCTCTATCAATCAAAACCTTATAGAGTACCATATGTCCATACTTCAGAAATACTAAATAATCATCCAATAGAATGTTAGCTAGTTAATAAATGAGGTTAGAGAGTTTTCTGGAGAAGATAAAGATCATCGTAGTGGGCTTGAATTTTGTTATTTGGTTTAGAGAGATGGATTAAGGTTTGGGTTGGCATTGGTAGGAAAAATTATAAACTACGGAGATGAAGGTTAATTTTGCCATTTTGTTATGTCTGTTAACTTCATTTTAATTCTACCTCTCAGTGGTGGTCAATGTAATTTTTCAATACTAATGAAGTTAATTGTAATTTGAGTAATCAAGGCCAGTATAATTTGACACACCAAAAAAAAAAGAAAAAGATTTTACACCCTATAACAAACAATATATAGTATCAGTAATATTAAATACTCAAAAATTTTACTTAGAAAATTATTCAGAAACATCATTATATGATGCAGATTCATTTTACACATTAATCTTACAATACACATTTAATCTCTAAAGCATTTTAATTCTTGACACAACTCTAAAACTATTCTGAATTTTTGTTTTGATAAGTAACACTACATTCTGGCTTTCAATGCAAGGGCACTTCAAGAAAGAAACTAAAATTGTAAATATAAATAGAAACATGAATGAATTGAGGGTAAGTTTGGAAACTTGTAAAAACGTTAAAAAGTCAAAAAGTTACTTAAAAAGTTAAAAAATTAACACTATTCACTAAAAGTCAACAATTACGGCTGCATGACTCCCAATTCAAATTTTTCACTACAAATCAATTTTTACAATTTTTTATTACACATTTTTCCATAAAAAGTCAAAAAGTTAATCTAAACATCCATATTTTCAACCTCAATTTTTTAGTCCAAAAAGATAAAAAATGCACTTATTTAAGACACCTCAAACGACTCCTAAATTAAAGAAGTTCCAAAATCCATCACTTGCATCTTCAATGCTTGTGTAGTGATGATGCGTAGACAAGAAGACCACAAAATATAGAAATAGAATGACCACAAAGCCTCCACGTACTGTGATGGAATGGGCATTTACAATTTCAAAATCAAGTGGCCTCACTCACTCTCACACCACTATCCATTCCTAGAGATGGCGATCTAAAACTGGCCCGATGGTGACTCGACCCCCCGTCTTCGAATTTAATAGTTATTCACCGAAAAATATTCCCTACGGGCCGGAGACGGTATTCAAAATTTCATCCCCGATGATATCCAGGCTGGGGACGGGGATAGGTGTTTCAGACCCGAACCCGGCCCCGGCCCCGGCCCGCTTATTCCCCGAGATAAAATTACCGTTTTGTCCCTGCATATATATATATCATATATGCTTGTATTTGTTTAGGGTTTCACTTTCACAGACCTAACTCAGCCTCTCACACACGGCGCTCCTCTCTCTCTCTCGCAGCTCGCCACTGGTCTCTCCCTCTCTCTTTCTCTTTCATCTCAATCAAGTGGCCATTCCCCTCTCTCTCTCCTAATTGGGAACAGTTGTTCTAACTATACAAAAATTAATCGCAAAATCGAATGCTTAGCACAAGCATGAAATCAAAGGGCTATGTTTATTTCAACAATCGATTTCTGAGTTTCTAGAAATTTTCAATTCAGAACAATTTAGCATGACTTAAAGAGTACTTTGGGAAAATGAAAATTAATAATATACAACATCAGTATAAAGTTGGGACAAATGTTGGTTTAGCCTCAAAATTTAGAGAAATAATTTTTTGCTCCCGGGACAATGGAACTATAGAAAAAATATACATTTGGTGACTAAAAATGTCAACTAAAAAAATTTACTTGCCAAAGGTACACACTGTTAGAAATGATTTTGGAAAAACATGTTTTTTCCTAAATTTTGGTCTAGTTTTTAGGTGGGACTTATGCGCCAAAATTGGCGGGTCTAAGTGGTAACGCGTTCTATGCCGCGTTGTGATTCACGTAGTATATTTAGTTGTTCAAAACCAATATCGGGTGAATAGAAAATTAAAGTCAAAGTGAGCTCCATGGAAATGGTATATTGGTAAAGTTTCCTTAAATGTTTGCATTAAAGGTTTGTCCCATATTGGTTTGGTTGGCAAACTTTGTGTGAGTTTATAAAGCTTGAGTTTGGAACTTGGGGTAGGCCCTAAGGGGCACTCAAGTTTTGTAGAGGGGAGGTTATGGACAAAGTGGGCTAGACCTATTAGGTCCAAAATAAACATACGTACCGCCATCTAGTCGAACAGGCCAAGCTTGGGTGCAAGTGTGAGGTGTGAAACATTTGAATTTATTTTTTAATTTTAGAAAATAAATTCTGATCGTTTGAATTCAAATTTGGGTTGGAAAATTCAGTTTTGGCTTGCACCATTCTGTATAGATTTTATATATGTCCGAACAGATTCAGTTCAAAACCCCTACCTGTTTAATTTAAATTCAAACAGATTTGTATCTGTTTAATTCAAATCGAACAGGTACTATACTTGTTGAATTCAAATCTAAAAGCCACCATTGGACCTATAAATAGACAAGTTCTTCATTTGGATTTGCACTTAATTTTCGTACTCAATTTTGCCATTGCTCTCTGTGCATTTTCGTACTCAATTTTGCCATTGCTCTCTATGAGAAAAAGTGTAAACACAAAGTGTGTTCGTGATGCGAATAATTTGTAATGTTGCTATTATTTGTTGTTGATCATTTTATTCTGGGAGATAGACGTCCACAATCAAAAAACACCATGGAGAGGACGAATCTGTCTTAAGGAGACAGTGTTAAACACTGGACTTGATCAAAATTTTGTTTCAGAAATTAATTAGGTAAGTAATTAATTTACTTCTTGTTTTATTTTATTTATTGGTTTGATTTTTGTAATCAAACGATCTCTCTCCTTTTCTTTATTTCTTCTATATTCTGTTTGGTATTAAGTACACAAACAAAATTTATTCGTAATACAGTGAAAATTATCCAACACACACTTTGGCTACCAAAAAAAATTTGGTCAGCAAAAGTACACACTTTAGTTATTAAAAAAATTAGGTTGGCAAAAGTACAATCTTTAACTACAAAAAACAATTTAGTCTCTATTTATTTTACTTTTGACCACTAATTGAGTTTTAGTCGTTGAAAATAGGTTTTGGGTGACTAAAAAAAGTTTGTTCCCTAAATGTACAATCTTGAGCTTCTAAAAAAATCTAGTCAGTATTTATTTTAATTTTGGGCACTTAGGCCTCGTTTGGGAACAGGCTAATTTAGTAACTTTTTTGCTATTTGGCTAAAAAGATAGGTAAAAAAAACTTGTATGTTTGGGATGACTTTTTGGCTAATCACGAAAAAATGTGCAAAAAGTAGAGAGAAAAGAGAATCTTTGACTTTTTGGTATGGGTTGTTGGCTTTTTGGCTAATTTAGTAACTTTTTGGCTAATTGGCTAAAATAGCCTCTTGCCAAACGAGGCTAGTCGTGTAATTAATGTGATTTGTGCAAAAAAAATTGGTGAATTTTATTAATAGTTAGTTAGATTACTTTTAGCGATCAAATTTTGGTCGCCAAAATTTTTATTTTAGACAACTAAAAAATAATTGGTCACCAGTTGTCTTTAAAATTTTGGAGGGAGACCTTTTGAATTTTGGAGGGATTTATGAAATTAATTGGTGACGAAATGATTTAGTCGAGAAAAAAATATTAAAAAAATTCATCATTTAGACATATGGCTACTAATTTTTTGGTGGGCAAATTGTTACACTAAA